TTTTTAAAGTATGTGGTTTAACAATTCAATCAATCAATCAATCAATCAATCAATCAATCAATCAATCAATCAATCAATCAATCAATCAATCAATCAATCAATCAATCAATCAATCAATCAATCAATCAATCAATCAATCAATCAATCAATCAATCAATCAATCAATCAATCAATCAATCAATCAATCAATCAATCAATCAATCAATCAATCAATCAATCAATCAATTAGCTTATAAAGCGCTATTTCCGCGATGTTCAACAGCGCTCCTCAATGAATTTTGAAAACAGATGGGTCTTGAGATCCGCTCTGAACTTCGCAAGTGATGGAGAAGTAGTCAGAGAAGTAGGTAGAGAGTTCCAGAGAAAAGGACCAGAAAAAGCAAAAGCAGATTTGGCAAAAGAGTGTTTAACACGAGTTAATTGTGATACAAACTGCAAAAAACTTTTTCTAAAACCATTTATTTAATTTCCTTTCCACATAAATTATCCATACAGACATTATATTTTTGTTAAGCTTTTGTTTTTAATGAATGTTCTCCATTTCACTAGTTCTATTTTGTATTTGTTTTTTTTTCAACCAATTTATTTGTAAACCGTATTTTTTTTCGTCTTCTGTCTTTTTTTCTCGTGCCTTTTCCTTTCAGGACAATGGCGACCATCTACCTCCACAAAACCCGATCTTTAACACTTTGTAGTAGTTGAAATGTGGTGATATTCAACAAGTGGCACACGAACTTCACGAATGTTATTCGTTGTTTACCGCGACCTCTTTTCAGGAGTTGTTAGATTTTCCATTCTTTCCTTCCGCATGATGTGACCAAAAAACTTTAACTGCCCCCGTCGGATTATCTGTAGTAATTTCCTCTTTTCATAACCGGACTGTTTTAATACATCTTCATTCGAAGTGAAAGGTAGAGAAGAGAGCATGGATTACAGGGTATAACGAAATGAAAATGTAAATATATAAATAAGAGAACAAAAAGTAGATATTTGTCATATTAGCAAAAATATTTTATTTTTATTGCATGTTCAAAATTTGCAGTATATATACACACATATATAGTACACACCCAAATACCCACACAAACACCATACACACGCGTACAAAGTGCACGCGCGCGCTAACACACACACGCAATACACACATACGAATATACCCATGTATATTTATCTGAAAGCATAGACCAAAAGGTTGTGTCTCGAATAAAGGTTTTAATCTTAACTAATCCTGCGATTGAAAAAATAAATCTTGCCTTAATTTCACTGTTCTTTGTGAAATGTTTGCTCAGTGGATTGAACGTTGAAATATTTCTACGAACGATAAATGTTATGTCTATGTTTATGGTTTTAAAAAATGTTGAATCTTGTGAACTGACTGTGAAATCAGCAACACAAACTCATTAACAACATTAATTAATATAAACAAAAACATTATTTATTATAAACACATCAAAACAGAGATCAACATTTAATATAAACAACAACATCAGAATAATACAAACAGTACCAAAACAACAACTACAACACTAACACTAACACTACATTACCAAGAAATAATTATCATCTTCTTATTTTCGGCAGAAATAGCATATAGTACATGGTACGACGAAACGATGCAGCGTTCATAAGAGAAACCAAACAAGTGCTACCTACCTACCTGCAGCAAACCTATTATGAAATTTATTATGAAAAATTTATTCGATTTACAGAATAAAAGCTGTTTTTTGCTTGCTTCAACAAGAATTCACCGAATGTGGATCTACTCGCTACGAGTTGAAAGTAGTTGACAAGTCGTTTTAAAAAAATTGTTCAAAATTGATTCAAGAAGTGCGCAATTTTTTTTTTCAATAGAATTTATTCATTTTACCTGAAGTTTTCGCGACGAACAAGTTTTTGGCAAACTTGTCTTTTTTATTTATATTTGTTATATTATTAGTGCATACAATTGCGATCAGTTGTCTGTAAAAACAGTGTTTGTGTGTGTGTGTTTTATGTTTAATGTTAGGGCTTAATAGTGCAACTGATATGCATTTCTTTTCTTCATGAGGCTCTAGTTGGAAAAAGTCTATATTATTAGTGTTATTGATTTGTAATAGTACTACTGCTGACATTGAGCTGTAATGCAATTTAATCAAATTACATGCAAATGTGATGTAAATAACTGGTTAAACTTATCGATAAACAGGGGATTATTACAGATCTAGGGGCGTTCTTCATCATTCACACACATTCACATCCACACACACACACATCTTTAGACACTCATTCACACATCCACACACAAACACACACTCACCTTTAAACACACATACAGATACATTTATAATAAGCACACATACTCATACATACATACGCATGTATTTACATGAGAAATACTTCCAAGCTGGAGATATGTATGTGATTATGATTTATAATTCATATTCTGCCCTTTCTAGTCGCGATCCATCGTGAGTAGTATGATATGTGTACGTGTTTGTGTGTGTGTATGTGCATGTGCAAGTAGACATGTGTTTGTGTCTGTATGCTTATATGTGTAGGTGTTAGTATGTATGTACTTGATTACGTCTATAACCATATGTATGTTTATGTGTGCGTGACCATGTGTGTGTATGTGAGTCTGTGTTTGCTGTTGTTTATTCTATATATTATAGTGTTAGTACTTAAAAGTATAGTTTTATATGTGTACAAGTGCACTGTAAACTTGTGTCATATTTTGAGTACATGAGTTCGAATGAGAGCTCTTCGAATGAGAGCTCTTAAGTGTATGTGTTTGTTTGTGTGCGTGTGTTTCTGTGCGTGTGCGTGTGTGTGTGTGTGTGTGTGTACATGTGTTTACGTTAACATTCGTGTATGTATACGCATGCATTTGTGTATTTGTGGGATTTTTCATAAAAAGAAGGTTTCATACATTTTATCATCTGAGGGCCGAGTGCCATTAATATCATTGTCATCATCAGTTCCATGTTCATCTCTAAAACATCCATTTTGTCATCATCTTCCTTGACATAATTGTAATAATTGTCTTTTCCGACATTACGATCGTATCCGTCATTTTTATCCTTATCACTACAACCAACTGCAATCACCGTCTTCATTCATCATCCCGTTCATCACCGCCATCATAGCATTCATCATTACAAACATCATTATCATCATCATCACACTCATCATCCTCATTATCATATTTATCAGCATCATTATCGGCGTCATCAATGACGTCATCGTCATCTTCGTCTTCTTCATCAATGACAAATAAATCATAATAAAGCCATCCACCTTCCCCCATCAATTACTTCTCTTCCTATTATTTTAAATAGAGCAAAATAGATTGATTGGTTTATCGAATGCAGTCGGACATAAATCACCATAGTATCTGCAAAAACAAAACAATATAAACTCAACGACATACAAACAATGCAAACAAACAATACAATCAAATAATACAAAGTTTTCAAACAAACAAAATACTAAACTTTCAAACCAAAAAAAACAATACAAAAATATTAATACGACTTATTTAGCGTGGTTATACAAATATTCACATGTAACTCGTCACACACAACTATTCAGCAGCGGATCTATAATTTCTCGTTGAAGAGAGGATTTTTATAGTTCCAACACAGTGCCACTAGATCCGTGGCTGATTGTTACATTGTTAAGTTTTATTTTAAAATATTACAGATCATTATTATACTATAGTTGACTGCACAAATATATTTGTAACAACACAAAAACTAGTAACACGAAACACAATTTTTTTCATACTAAAAACAAACACAGTCCAGTGCAAACAAATTCTTCGAAGACAATTTATGCTGTATGTCGAAAATGATTACAAAATGGAGCACGAAAATACTCGGACAAAAAATAACTTTGTAAGTTTTTGTGCAAACAGTCATTTGAAAGAGCGCATAGCAGAAACAAACAAGCATTTAAATTACTGAGACAATTTGTGATACAAACAACAACACTCACACACACACAAATACTTACACAGACATAAACAAACAGACACATACGCAAACACGCACGCACGCACGCACACATATCAGTCTTTATTGATTTGCCCGTGTTTGTATCTCGGGTCAAACTTGCCTTTGCTAATGTTCTTGCAGAATGAACCAGGGACAGATCACACACACACACACACACACACACACACACACACACACACACACACACACACACACACACACACACACACACACATGTACACAAACACACACACACCACACAAACACAAATACACACATCACACAATAAGTAATATTACAAAAAGCTGCAATACACCATTATCGTTTGTGTGAGGTTAAAAATTTTGCTGTTTTATTTACTTTTGTAATTTATATTTTAAAATTTAGATTTAATTAAATTTTATTTATGATAAATATATTTATATTTCTGTAATAAAATATATTATAATAATATATAAATAATTTTAATTTTCATTCATATCTAACTATTCATTTATACAATCATTATTCTATTAATACTAATAAGTAATGGTAATACAATTTACCATTCAAATAAAAATAGTGAGTCATATTGTTATATTAACAGTTAACACTGTTATATTTGTCAGTCCTACATTTAACTAATTTCTAATATTTTCACGTAAAGTTTTATTTCTTTAAAATAAAACTTCCAAACAGTTGGACTTCGTGATGGTGTGATAGTTAAGACGCTTGGCTCGTGTCCCACATGTAAAGAAATCTGCGCTAATCACATGCATGATTCCCGCACACTCACATGTATGTTGTCGTTGTTTCTGTTGTTGTTGCTTTGCTGTTGTTGTTGTTATGTTGTTGTTGTCAATGTTGTTGTTGTCAATGTTGTTGTTGTTGTTGTTATTAAAAAGTAGTAATCACAACAACAATGATAATAATTGCTATAACAACAAACGTTTTCCTAACAGTAATACGAATAAAAATTTTTGACTGACGTGTATTAATAGCATTGTGTTGATTATCTTATCAACCGTGAAATTTTTCCTTACTTGTTTAATGGAGGAAGTTTGCCGGGAGTACGATGACATTAAGACCGATGTTGCCGCAGTCGTGGTTGCTGTTGTAGTTGAAGTTGTTGTGGTTGTTGTGGTTAGTGCAGTAGTTGTGGTTGTTGTGGTTGTTGTGGTTAGTGCAGTAGTTGTGGTTGTTGTTTTTGTCCCGGCCTATGTGGCTGATGTGGCAGTACAGATTTTATTAATGCTTTCTTTTGCATTAGTAAATTAACCATATATCGATTTTAACATTACCGGCACCAACATCGTCACCACCATCATCGTCATCATCGTCCCCATCATTATCACTACTATCACCATCATCGTCATCATTGTAATTACAATCATCACCACCATCATCATCATTCTTATTTAAAAAAATTAAGTTGTAATCATTCTCGCCACCATTATCTTCATCCCTAACTTATTCAGCATCAATATCATCATCATCGTCTTTATCATCGCCATCATCACAGCTGTAATCGTCATCATCTTCGTCGTCATCTCCGTCATCATCTCTTCATCACCTTCTTCATCATCTTCGTCTTCGTCGTCATCATCGTCGTCATCATTCTGCGTCAGTACATACATCGCAGGTACGTACGTTAAAGCAAAATTGAACGACTTAATCTCGTTAGCGGCTACGTCATCTGTGACGTCAGCGGTGCTGGCTGGCGACGGTGGTGATGTGCTTATAAATATTTATGAATGTAAAATATAGAAGGAAAGGGAACCCAATTTTTTCATTCATTCATTCGTAGATACATCCATCCGTTCATTCATGTATCTGTCTATCTTTTATACAGCCTATTTTTGGAAGGCCAGTTATCAGATTCGTTCAGTCAGCAGTTGTTTAACTATAATCATCTATTTAACAAGGTAATGATGATGATGATGATGATGATGATGATGATGATACTGATGATGATGATGATGATGATGATGATGATGATAATGATGATGATGATAACAGAAAAATGGCGACAAACTGTTAGTACGGGATGCGAAAATGGCAACCATTCCATAGCATCTCATGAATATTTCGCGAAATTTAAACTAATTTTACGCACACTGAACTTTATCGCTTATTTTTGTTTTCAAAATTTTTGAGATAAAAAAGTTATTAAAGGAAACTATTTATTTATAAATTTTGGCTAAACACGCTAGAAATTTTTACTACAATAATGTGTGTGTGTAGATGTGTACGTGTGCTAATGAGTGTGCGTATGTAGGTGCGCGTATGTGTGTGTGGTTTTATATACGTGTTTGTGTACGTGTATATGAACGTGTGACCTTTTGTGTACATGTATGTACGTGTCTGTGCGTGTGAGATTTTACCGGTAGTTGTGTTTATGTGTGTGTGTGTGTCTGTGTGCGTGAGTGCGTGCGTGCGTGTTAGCTTGATGAAGAAATAAAATGACACTGGCCGTTTAATTATCGGTTTTAACGCTCCCAGCGTGAAACCAGCCAGGCATATTAAACATATTAAACGACCATAATAAAACCCATTGTCTTGTATATTTTATTTTTTGTAAAATTGTTTTTATTTTGTTTTAATTTTTGTTTATTTTGCTGTTTACTTCGATGTAATGTATTTATTGAGGGTTTTTTTCCATTGTTTCTTCCTTGGTTTATGATATTTAAAAATTCATAAAAGAATTATTAATTAACTGATTATTAATTAATTAATTATTAATAATTAAAAATGTTCCAAAAAAGATAAACGAAAAAATATTCCTGCAAAAATTTAAACTAAATACAGTACCCACAACAACCAAATGTTAGTGAAAATTCAAGATAACAATATTCTCAGGTAAATTATTAATAATGAATATTGAAGTATAAAGCTTAGTCTGGATAATTGTAAAAAATAAAAAATGTTTTAATAGAATCAGTAGTAGTAGTAGTAATAGTAGCAGTAGATGCTGTTGTAATGATAGTAAAAGTAATAGTGGTAGTAGTGGTAGTAATAGTAGTAGTAGTAGTTGTTGTTGTTGTTGTAGCAGTAGAGGTAGTAGTATTAGTAGTAGTTGCTGTTGTTGTATAACCAAAAAGTAACAGTAATAATTGAAGCGATGTTTAGTTTCTGATGTATAGTGCTTGCTTTTGCATCAGCAGTTTGCGATAGATATCAATGTTTATGTGTTTGTTGTTTGGCCAATTCATAATGTGTTTTTTTGTTTCATCAATTTTATCTTTACTGTTTGTTCTTTCTTTCGGTTTACTCTTTGTTTATGTTTGTTCTTTGTTTTTGTTTGTTCTTTGTTTTTTTTGGTTAAATTTTCTTTGAGGATTTTAGCAGAGATTAAATTATTGCACAAGTTTGAAGATTTGGCTTGCAAGTTTCGTAGAGTTGTGAGAATGAAAATTGTGATGAAGAAGAAGATGTGATGATGCTCTGAAGATGAGGAAATGATAACGAAGATGATGATGACGACGAAGATGATGTCGATAATGATGAAGATGACGAAGATGACGACGATGATAGAGTATCGATGATGATGATTTCCTTGATGAGGAAAAATTTGCCGTTGATGAAAAAATTGATTTTGTGCGTCTCGATGACGAATATGGACTGACGCTTAGAATGGAAAGATGATGATGACGACGATGATGATGATGGTTTGTTTAGGGATGATGATGACGATGACGATGGTGATGGTTTGTTTTGGGATGATGATGATGGCGGTGATGGTGGGGGTTGTAATCACAAAGATGATGATGTGGATGATGAAATTGATGAAAACGATGTTGATAATGATGGTGAAGATGATGATGATGGTGAAAAGAATGATAACAAAGATGATGACGATGATGAACGTGATGACGACGTTGATGACCACTAGGTAATAACAAAAATTTTTAGTTAAAAATGTTTTATATGATTTAATAACACAAGTTTTTCCTTAATTGCTGAAATATTTATACGAAAAATGTGAAAAAAAAAATAATTTTAATAGTGTCAATAAATTATTTTCAGTTCGAGTGAATGTTTTATATTTTCGACAGCGTTTTTTTTCGAGGTTTTAATCATTTTGCAGAGGTATTACTTGCCTATGAGGTCAATTTTAAAAAACTTTTCATGAATTCTTGTAAATCTTATAAGTTTATACGTTTAATGAATGAGATAATATGCGTTAGATGTCTGAAAATTGACATATTCATCAAAACGATTTCTCAGAATTGTAATAATAACAAGAAAATTGAAAAATTTAATGAAATATATTTTTTGTTGTTTGTCATTTTTATTTTTTTTCATTTTTTTGAAAATTATTAATGTATATGTAATTAATTTCTGAGCATGTTTCGCCAGCATTTATCATCATGGTACATGAGTGTTTACTGATTTGTTGGCATGTTGTTGTTGTTGTTGTTTGTTTGGTTGGCTGTTGTAGATGTTTTTTGTTGTTGTTGTTGTTGGTTGTTGGGAATGTTCTTAAGAAATTTTATTGCCGTCTGTTATGTTAATATGTCTTTGCAATGGATATTTTTAAAAGACACATCTCACATTATTGTGGTTTTTTGTAGTTTTTGACACTAAAATTTTTGTTATTAATCTTTTCATTATTTTATTTAATAAATATTATTCTTTTTAATATTTAGAATTTAATTTTTTCATTGTAAATAAATAGTAGAAGCAATTCGACTACGCCTCATATAATTATAGCCTTGCAATGGTAGGTGAGGCAATATTAGTGTAACAATGATGATATGATTCACAATGTATGTCACTCTTGTAGTTGAATCACACCCTAATTAAAAGCCTAAAAAATTTTTGGAATAAAACAACAAATATTAATTTTTAGCTTTACTTTACACACCTCGCATATTCATTATTAAACTCTCAGAGAAAATTTGAAAAATAGCACAGTGTGTTAAATTCACAATTTATAAATGGAATATGCTCACACAGACGCACACACACACGCACACACACACACACAAACAAACAAAACAATCTATACACACTCACACACACAATACTACACAAACACACACAAACACATGTCCTCACACAAAGACATATACTCACAGACACTCACAGACGAGAAGTAGTTTATTGAAAGCTTATAAAACAAATTTGCGAATTTCTTTTTTCCCTTCCTTGGAAAAATAACACAGGAACAATTGCATTGGCTTATATTACAGCCCCAACAATATCCAAAATAATGTTGAAATAATGAAAAAATAAAATTAGCTTTTATGGACAAACAACAACAATAACAACAACAACAACATAGATATAAACACCAAAAACAACATAATTTTTTTTGAAAACCAAACTAAAGCAATAAACAACA